AGACAAAATCGACTTGCTAGAACACCCGTGACGAAGAACCTTGCTTCTTTCAACGGAATCGTGTACAAGCGTTATCTTCTTGAGAATGTCATGACACGACCGGTAAGCAAGAAATCTATGTCTATTATTATACAGCAAGGCAATGCTAACACCTCATTACAAACCGGACAATCCAGAGATCGTTGGTGCTGGGACAACCGGTGGATGCAACATCTAGCACAATTTCCACTGTCCAAATTTAACGGACTGTAGATTTAGTGTACTTTATGGCGATTCAAGAATTCAATAACACCAAACCCGTTACAATTGGATCGGTCTATCTATGTAGTGATGCAATACTATGCGGATATTGCGCCAGCAAAACTGGACCACATTTTCCTCACGCTGCAGAACGTGGTTGAGTGTTTGTTGCATCTTGTCGGGGATCCAATGCATATAAGCAATCTTGTACTGGTAGGGATGTGTTAAATCGCTCAGTGATGCTACCAGAACTGGTTCGATGTAATTTACAAGTCTTTCGATGCACACTTCCCATCCTGGAGGAAGGTGGCGTTATCAGGGTATACGTGCTCAGTGATATTATTCAATTACGATAACTGTATATACCCATAATACACAAAGATAAATTTAGGAGAGTGGAGCGTACATACTTAGTGATCATTCAGCGTCTTCGTCAGCAAAGACTCACCATCGACCAAAGATCAAAGTTATGCACCAACCGCGTGTCGTACCGGGGTTCCATATTTGTAGAATTCATCCCATAGAAAAGAACGTGTATGGTATCCGGTGGATTACTGCAACACTTAGACGACGTCAACTACGATGTTTGAATGGGATGGTAAACTATAACCAGGATATATGGTCGCGTCGTGTGCTCCTCTAACGGGGTTGAAGCCCCTACAAGATAAGTACCAGTGGGCCAACACGGAACAAAAGCTTTCCGGTCAGATGGGAAGCTGTGATGGCAACAGGAACCAATAACGCCATATCAGTTTAAAATCCGCTGTGATATGATCTATTTCGAGATCGGTGTGGTGAGTGCATGGTCTTGTTGGAACCTTCACGCAACGTTTCGAACTGAAAGCTCGGTAATTGAACTTCCCTTACGACCGCCATCGCCCTGTTCACATTACGTTGGGTGTGGCGACATAGTGAAAAAGAGGAATGTTGGGTCTGTTCAAAGGCTAAATATTCATCTGAAGTTACCGAGGTATTTTGTTGGTTAATCTGAGTAATCTAAATGGCCTGCTTGTATGGTGTTGTATCTAACAACTAGCGTCATAGGTCTTGGAATTCATGGGCCAGATCGGAAAATCCTTGTGAAGAAACGGTTTTGTGTCTGCTGTTACAGCGTATTATTTAAAGTGCGCTCTGTTGGTATCAGAACATTGCCTGGAACTGGATCATTACATTCTTTCTTTGATAAGTAGCTCACATATATCGACCTGTTTCCTTGGTTTGATAATATTGCTAGCTATCTCTGAGGTACCGTTGATGCCAACAAGCTTTTCTTTCAGCACTATTTATTTGAATGGCAGTGCGGTACCGTTCGGTGTCACTTCGGGTGCGTCTCCGTTGATATTTCGACATATTTACGAGCTTGATAACGAACCATCCGTTGGATGGCACCCAGCGTAACTTCCTGTTCGATGGTTAATTCTGTCCCATAGTTATACGTGGCAGGTTGACTACCAAATATTCTTAATATCGAGTTGATCCTGAATACGAAGTGGAGGCATCGGGCTGCTTAAAAGGGCATACCGTTGCCTGAAGTTCGTACCGGCTTTGAGAAAGCTGCGAACCTTGCGGTTATGGAAGCTTTCTACAAAATAGAACAACGTTTATATTGTGGCAATTATTTCATCAATCTTTCTTTGGATATTTTGAGAGCGTAAGGGTGTTGGTTCGCCCATAATTGATCATGTTGACCGATTCTACTGTCAAATTCAACTTCAGTTCTGGAATGAAATGACGGAAATGCATTCGAAAACGTCCTGGACTCCAAAGCAGAAATCATACGCCAAGCGTAACCTTTGTGGTGTAACGACAACATTGGTCAGGTCTTTGTTGTGACGATTCCAACACTGGTTTTGATCTGGCTTGGGAAGGGTGCGCGAAGAGGTCGGGGATCCCCGCATGTGTAATCAGAAAAAAAATGCTGAGCGGTATAGCCAGAGCAACGACCGTGTGCCATTTATTCAAACGGATGTTGTTGCTTGTACTTATACGACATCAACACATTGTCAAGTTGAACCGACTGGCCAACAGCCATATCTAAACCTTCAACGACTATCCCTAGCCAAACTATCTAAAGCGACAATCTAGATAAACTCAATGTACAGATTCACTAATGCTATTGGTCTAATATTTAGTGCCACAGATGATACAGCAAAGCGTGAATTATAAGTAACTAAACAAGATGATGTCGATCTGGCGCGCTTGCCAAACCGGCCTCTACCGAAAGTAGCTCGCTCAACCGCGTCTTAGCACCAAGGGCTGTTATTACCGAACCATAGCGAACGGCTATAACTCGAGCCACGTTCAGAAACATAATCCAGAGTTACAACCGTCAGACATCCATTTTTCACAAGCAACAATTACTTCAATTGGATGGTCCACAGGGATGCGAAAAATTAAATTACTAAAACAATACATTGGGGGTTTTAATTTTAACATTAATTCTTTACCAGATTAATGTTTTAGAATTATGACCAATTTTACCGTTGACGACATACTAGTTTTATTGTCACTCACGGAACTACTATAGTCATACTCTCGCGTCCAGTCAATTTCCATATCATCAGCCATTTACAGAGTCCTTCTTAGGCTCACGATGCCAAAAAACGCACTTTACAATTCACCATGCCTCTCGAAAGCCGCCTCATCGTCCGCACACTTACTACTCAGGATTCTCGTGGATTGTACAGCTGCAACAGCTGTTCCAAGATCATCAAGTCTACAAACGGCTACACGAACGTCCTAAACCATCTTAAGCGCTTCAATCCTACCTACGAGGCGAATACCCAAGTTGCTCTCGGAACGGCGAACTCCGTTTCTATTTGTCTGGTCGAGCATGCGACCACCGACATGTTCCGTTGGATTGAGTGGATCGTCATGGATTGCCTACCCTTAACGTTTTGTGAACGTGAACTTGGTCGACGCAACGCAAATCTCCATCACGTTTGCGTGAAGACGCTGAGTTGTATCTCGACGAAATGGTTGCGGTGATCGAGGTGCTACCAAGACGCTATGAAATTGTATTGGATGGATGGTCCAGTGGTGGGCGGCACTACATCGCTATCTTTGCTGTATTCAATGACCCTGGCTCAAATGACACTACGGTCCCTCGCTCAAGTGACTACCACGATGATCTTGAATGCCCATCGCGACGATTCGTATTGCTAGCGTTTTGTCCCATGGAGGACGAAGGCGACCTCAGCGCCCAAAGTTTGTTTCATTTGATCGCCGACACTCTCACTAAGTATGAACAGCCATGGGAAGCAGTCGTCTTTATGGTGCCGTCACAACTGTTCTGTGAATCATGTGTATCGGGCGCCGTGTTGGTGCAATCCAGTTGATCGGATGCGCTAGCCATAGATTTGCACTTGCTGTGAGAGAATTCATGCAATCTGAAGAAGGTCTACTCGATAAGGTCCATAAGCTCATGAAGAAACTGAGTACGGTGAAGGGTAGGTCACTGTTGCGGTCGTGCACGAACTTAGCCCCGGTGATGCGCAACGATAATCGCTGGTCCAGTACACATGCGATGCCCCAACGCAACTCAAAGTTAGAGCCGTTTCTCCGATCATTTGACGCTGAAACGGTTTCGGTTTACGATTTAGAACCTATGATGTTAAATCGGTCCGAAACCCTTCGGATCACATCACTACTCAAAGATCTAGACAACTTTGAGTCCGTTACAAAAACCCTTCAAGGGCCGACTCTTACGCTGTCGGCAGCACGCCGTCTCTTCGACCATGATGTCGCTAACTACCCGAATCTGAAGGAACGAGTGCCCCCACTGCAACAAACGTCAATTACCCTGCGCATGAGTCCGGACAGATTAAGATTCAGCGGGGACAAGCTCTCACGGCTGCAGAGCGGACGGCTTGCGCGACGTTTTGTGTTGAAGACACGACCAACCCTGCGGAAGAACGTGGTGACGCTCCTAGCAGTTTTTTGTCGCGCAGGCTTTCAAACGCCGCAAAACAACTAAACGAAGGGCCTATGTAGACTTGGGGTACGTGCCGCTCACGTCAAACGAGTGGGAACGCCTATTTTCCAGAGCAAAGCTCATCTTCAGCGACATACGGAAGAGAATGGATCGCGTAACCCTCGAGACACTTGTCTTCCTACACTGCAACCGCTCACAATGGGATGTGTACACTGTAGACAAAGTTCGCAACAACATTCGTCGCATGCTAGACAATAACTGAATCATTCATTTTTTTGTGAATCGACGACAAGATTAATCCAACATTTTAATTTTTGCCATCCCTGATGGTCCAGTCGTTTGAGAGCGTCTAGAACCATCATATGAATTAGGATACCTGTACAAAAAGCGCAATTAGGGCGGTATTCTACAACAACTGTTGATGGATATGTTCGTGCCAATCTGAGGGAATGGTGATCCGGTCGGTCATGAAGTTTAACGATCGTTAAATACGCGTTTGAACCCGTCATAAGTTCGTACCCCCACTGATCAACTGAGATATCATCCGGACAATCAAATGCAACAAGGTGGTATACGCAGGACCCGGTTCATAGGTCATTCTCCACCTCATCCACGATTCGATGGCGCAACGTAGGCACCTTGGATTTGAATGCCGGACAGGCATTACGTACATCCGGGCTGGTGATGCTAATGAGGATATTTGGTTTTAAATCAATAGCATATATGTTGTATCGTGGCGGTCTAACTTTGCTAAACGAAGCACACGCGTCCACATAATAATACGTTCGTTAGCTTTGTGGGAGTTGAGGGGCAATCTTTGGTTCGCATGTGTGGATATACGATTGTGCATTGATTATCGATTGGTTAGCAGTTTTACACAGCTGATGGTTTACCCGATGCCGCTGATCAACGATCTACTGGAGGATCTCGAGTCTACACTGTGGTATTGCTCTTTGGATATGGCGAGCGGATTCTGGGTGGTGAAGATGACGGATCGGGCCCGGCTGATCTCGTCCTTTATTACTCTTCGAGTGGAATCGGATGCCTTTTGGGCGGAAAAATGCGCCGCAGATCTACCAGCGGATGATCGACAATGCCCTGTATGGGTTCACTCGGATCCCAAAAATGGCAGGTGATCTGAAGCATCTGGCTGTATTCGAGGCCGGAGAACCCAAAGATCCGGTCAAACCATTGGTGTTAGGACGCAGATCCTACATCGACGACATCTTGGTGCCAGCTGATAATTGAGATCAGCTATGCGACCGAAGACCGAAGATCTGCTGGAGGCGTGCGACAAATGGAACTTGTCGATCAGCGTTGTCAAGAGTTTCTGGGGCATGCCCAATGTGGAGTATCTCGGTCACAAGGTATTGCTCGACGGACTGGAGGCAAATCCGAAGGATCTGTCGGCGCTGACGGATCTTGAGTTTCCCGGATCCCTGCGTGCCATGCAATCCGTTTTGGGCAGCCTGAACTATTACAGTCGCTGCATCGAAGATTACGCGATTTACGCCGCTGTGCTGTATGAGTTGAGGGAGATCGACTATGCTGCAACGGAGAAGGGCATGAATCGAAGCCGGATCCAGCTAGCACTAGCATCGGCATCCCCGGATCCAGACATATTGACTGAGGATCTGACGAGTCCGCAACCTTCGGATCCGAGCCCGCGGGGTCAGGATCCCGGACTTAGTGATCAAGATCCGAACCTAGCATCACGGGATCCGACGCCTGATTGTGTGAAGACGCTGAACCCCGAGACTGATGATTCTGCGGATCTGGATCCCAGGTGGATCCATGCTCACCGATCGTTCGAGGTGTTAAAGGAGAAGATCGCGAAGACGCCGATCCTGCGACACTTCGATCCGGATCGACAAGCAGTGGTGGTGATATATGCCAGCGATTGGGTGATCGCCGGTGCATTGATGCAAGAATATGATCAGGTTTACAATCCAGTGATGTTCGCGAGCCGCACGTTGAAGTCCAGCAAATTGAACTATGGGATCGACGAGAAAGAAGTGTTAGCGTTGTTGCGGATCCAGGATCTCAACTATAATACTCTGGTTGGGAGACCGATCCGAGTGCTGACACGACACTCCACACTGGCTTGGCTATTCAGATCCAATGCACTACAAGGTCGCCTGGAACAGTGGACCGCGCTACTTTCACCCTGGATCCTCGAGATCGTCAAGTGTAACAAGGGCGAGGACGAGATCCGGCACATTAGCAGCGAGTATCACCCCCAGATCCAAAGTCGACAAAGCACTGATCTCGATCGCCTCGAAGAAAGAGCCGAGGCGCAAGATCCAAGCCCCGATCCCAACAGTAAGATCGGATGAGGATCTATATGTCGCTAGCTTTGACGGATCCGCCCGTGTCAAGCGAGGTGGAGGCGCCTACAGCGCGATTCTGTGAAAATTACCTGAGTGGACTGTGGTGAAGGCTAGATCCGGCTATGCCGAGGGTTTGACTGTCAACGAAGCTGAATATCACGGCCTCTTGTTATGTCTTGATTTACTGGAAGGAACGGATCTGCTGCGATTGGTGATCTGTGGCGACTCAAACCTGGTGATCAGCCAAGTTAGAGGCGAAATCGATTGCAAGGCACCTGGATTGACGTTATTGAGACAAAAGGCGTTGGACAGATTGCGGATCCGGCCGGACCATGAATTGGTACATGGAAACGGGATTGGAACGGAGTGAGGATAGTCTGGCTAGTGCTGCATTGGAACGGCAGTGCGGGATCGAGGTCGAAACAGATAGCGAGGTTCAGGATCTGATCACATTGAACAGGCTGGATGAGATATTGGTGGTGAAATCGGAGGGTCCGGCAGTGCAGATCTCGGCCGTAACTACTAGATTGAAGGCCAGATCCGGCGTGAGATCGGGATCCACCCCCCCCCCAGGTTTTGTGCGAAGAAGTGATCAGGGAGCTCAGGATCGAGCGGATCTGGCATCCACAGGACGAAGAGGCGTAGATCCACAGTTTGAAGAATTATCGGGTTGGAGAAATACGCGATCTGACACAGGAAGAGGCCAGATCTTGCGGATGCATCGGGGCTAGGGAGATGGTGGGATTTGTCTCGCGACCACTTTGACCACATTCGACCACATTGTTGTCTCGACGACTTGTCTCGATGTAAATCGCAATTAGTGTAGGCTAGAAGATAACAGAGAGTATTTTTTAACATCTTTAAATAAAATGAAGATTGTTATTGCTGCGAGTTGAAGTACTCTGCTATCGCACGGTTCCCTCTCTTTGTATCTAAAAGCAAGCAGTCGCGATTTTGAGTGTGATCTCCGCACTTCATGTGCTTCTTGCGGTAGCTAGAGCAAGATGTCGCTCTGCCCATTTCCGGTAAAAGTGGTTCAACTCTCGGTGGCAATATCGGAGCACTGGCATGCGACTCTACTTGCACTGTGCGAGAGGTACGCCTTCTTTGATTCGACATCGTAATTCGTTATCCGTGAGGTGCGCATCTGAATAATTCTTCTTGAGTTCGTGTTGTAGAATATCGGATTTCCCTCGTACATAGCGTAGCGACTCCGATAAAGGTTTCAGCTCAGATAAATGCTCAGGAGCGATATGAATCGGTACTTCAAGCGTTGTTTGAGAATCGTGAGCCGTTACATCCTTGTTTGCACAATCGGAGACAAATGACAAGTATCCGGATTGGACACCGACCAATCCGCGTTCACTACTGTTTTTCCAGCGTCATTCGCTCTCGTACTTGGAACCGTAATGGGTTCAGATACAGGTAGAGTAGCCAATACAGTGTCTGTGTGCGCCGGTGCCGACGCCATAACAATCGGTTCTGAGGACGCTTCAGTTTGAGTAGCATCAGCAGCATCTATGGCTTTCACCAACTTCCTCTTTTGACGATTTTGAGCAGCCTTTAACGCCTCCTAACGCGATAATAGCACCGACTCCGGTAGACGGTCAATTCCAGTACACACAGTGCTTGCAAAATCGTAAAGATGACAAAATAGTTGTTTTCTTGCGGTTCCCGCTTTAAA